TAGCGGGAAGGTGGCGATGGTTTAGTTTTACAGAACTAAACATCATCTCATTTCAAACCGTTAACCTGGAGGACCGAGAGAAATAGTTTGTCTGACCTCTCACTGTTGACCAACCTGGTAGGTGTATCTCTCAAAGGGCCCGGAGATACTACCCAGTATAGCTCAATGGGTCAAGGAGGTACATAAACCGTCGCACGCCGTTAAGGTCCAGTCCCGTTGCGATGGAGTGAGAGTCGATGCTGCCTGTTGAATGGTCTGATCCAAAGTGCGGACGTTAAAAGAGCCAGTGTGAATTGGGACTCGTGGTTTGATAAACGAGTTACGTGTATTTATGGCAGCAACAGCGCGGTCAGCGCCAGCTTCTTGCTCAATAGACTGGTAAGAAGAGTTGTGAAGATCAAGTAAAATAAGAAGAGGGAGTATTGTCGACGTGGTCGAGACGGTAAATGTTGCTCTCCGGCTGTCAATTCCGAGAGTGGTTTTGTTCACGATGCCATGCCTCTCCTCTTTGACTAAGCACTTTGAACCACAAGGCGGTGGGGGAGGATCGCCTTAGGGACTCCATCCGGAGCTTTTGGCTCAATAGCCTTACCCACAATGCAGTAGGGGATATGGAAGTTTGTTTGAGTGATTCCATCCGGAGTCTTTGGCTCAATAGCATGGCTCACAAGATAGTGGGGAGTAACTCCCAGTCGAAAGTGTGCTTGCAGGGACATTGGGATCTGCTTGAGGCCTGTCAGACACAGACTTTGAAGATATTTTTGTCATTGTCGCCTACCACGAACTGAACACGCTGCTTCGCAGTGTTACCATTTAGATATAGTTTTTGTTGAAGGAGGTATGAATGCGCAAGTATATCGTCTGAGTTCTCTTGAAGCTTAGCTAAGTGGCATCTATGGACTTAAATCTGATCGGATAAACATCGGCGAGCGTCTGCTGCAACTGTGCGCCGAACACCGGCTGTTTCTTAGTAGCACCACTTTTAGGCACAGTGAACGCCGAAGTGTCACTTGGGGTCCCCCTATAGATGGCTAGCGATGGACCCAACCATATCACATGGCCATAAGCTATAATTCGTGCGGTTAAGTCTTGAGTACAACGTTCATCATTCATCATTATACACATCAGCTAGAGGTGGGAAAACACCTCCGCTATTGTGCCACAACGTTACGCAGAAATCTTTTGTCAATACATTTTATCAAGCAAATACAGTAATAACAATGTATGAACAATGTGCGTCGACTCTGATCATGCCTTAATACGTTGTCGTTTTTCCATAAACTTTGCCGGGAGGCTTACCGAATCCCTCCCTCTATTGCCAACTGCGGAATTATCCAAATCCTCCGTCAGACAAGCCGACCAGGATGCACTGCGTACCGAACTTTTCCTACCTTCTCCTAATGCCATTGAGCTTCATTAGGATCGGATCTCGGCCGACATGCACGACGTGGGAGCCTCTGCTTGCGTCCCTATCAGTCGCCACTGCACCAGTCATTGGATACTCCATAGGTCTATGATCTTTTTGGAATCTAGGTGAAAACTCCCAACTGCCTTTGAGCACAGTGTGGTCAGACGGACTGTTAGATACAAACTAAAGCGGAGCTTATGCTCTGACAAGGAAGCGTAGTGGACCAGTAGGGATCAAGAAATTGAGGGGACGTGAGAAGTAGGCACTAATCGCAAGCTTATAATCGTAGATCTTCCAACTGATCCGCACCACTGGTCCCCGGAAACCGGATGTCAGAGAGACAATCAGAGACAGCGTGGGTGCCCTGATTCATGGAATGATCGCCATATGACGCGTTGGGCGGAGCACTTCCGATGTTAATTGGAACTCAGCTTTTCTGACTCTTCCTACTCATGTGGTGTAGGTTGGACCATGGCCTGTGTATTCAGAGGCTCCATGGGAAGCTGAGATCCGAAACGCGATCGCAGTCCTTAATCATTCTTGAGCTGCACCCCCGAATTCCCCCACACACTCACTGTTTGGGGATGATGGTGTGGTCTGCAAAACACTGATCTCCCTGTTCGAACAGTTATAAAAGGAACAGATCATCCCAACTAACTGGAGTGCGTCGATTATAGTGGCCATATACAGGAAGGGCAGCCGCACGGACTGTGCTAACCACAGGGGTATTTGCGTAACACCAGTTGTGACAAAACTACTGGCGACAATTCTCGTTCGTCGTCTCATTGCATAACGGAACTCCCGGATAAGAGAGGAACATGCGGGTTTCCGTCCATGACGGGGTTGCATAGACCACATATTCACTCTGTGGCATGTGCTAGTGCAGCATCACGACGGAAGATCGACAGTAGTTATGCTCCGCGAGTTCATAGTGCTTTCGACTCGGTCGATCGATGCATTCTGTTCGAGATGATTACGCGGAAAGGTGTTCCCATATAATATGTGAGCATTTTACGGGCCGCATCAGGCTCTACGGTGATTTGCCGGATTCCTTTCTGTCAACAAATGATGTTCGTTGGGACTGCCAAATTTCCCCATTTTCGTTCAACTTCGTCGTTTACTCCATCATATATAGTCTGTTGCGAAATCTCATGCTGCAGGTGTTGAGATGTTGCCTGTTGAATGGCTAGTTTAGCTTGATTATGTGGACGATATTGTCTTGTTGTTTAAGGATGTCAGGATGACCCAGCCTACCCTAATGGCCTTTCAAGTGTGGTCCATTCATATGGCATGTCCTTCACACCTTCAAAATGCAGTGTAGCTGCATGAACACCAGACATTTGATGACCCATTGACCTTTGCCGGGGAAGAACTCGAGTTGTTAATCACTTCACGTACCTTGGCAGCTGCATCGGCAACGTTTGATGCTTATCAACTGAAGTCAGTTCATTCATTGTAAAATTTAAAATTGCCTTCTTTTATCTGTGGCGTCTGAAGAGCGCCTCCCTCGGTCTGACAGGCCGTGTTTGCAAGGGCACAGTGAGGGCCGTCCTAACGTATGGTAGTGGGGCTTGGTTTGAGGTGCCTTCGAGTTTTCGATAGTCGCTGGTTACGAAACATTGCTATTGTCAGATGGCTGCAGCGTCTCCGCAATGATGATATGCCTAAACGAGTGCTAGGCAATGAAACCAAGCTAGATTCTTAGAACAATATTGCACGTACTACGTATGCCCGGTCACCGCTTTCGGAGGTGGGCTTTGTTTAGTCTGCCAGATGTTGGGTGGCGCAAAGCTCGTGTTTAGCAAAAGTTAACTTAGCAGGGAGAAGTGAAGTCACTGACGATCAAAGTCGGTGCCGCCGGTCCGTCCTGCCTTTCAGGCTGGAGTCCACGTGACCCGCCTTGTGCTTTGCTTGAGAGGTTACAGGACATGGCTCGCAGTTGATATCAGTGGCGCGTCTGCTACCGTCTCCTAGTCGGACTGCCTGTTTAAAGTGTGTGCTGCTGTTATTTGCGGAATAATGACTACTTATGACGCGGGACAGTGAAGGCTGGAAGTAAGCTGTCTCGCCTATGTCGCCTTATCTTTGCACGATAGTCAGCTGTTTGTGACGGTATATTGTTGACAACGTGTAGGCCTCTTGACCCTGAATGTTCGTTTAGAGTTTTAATGTTTTACGCTAGGCCCCCTTCTCTCATTATTTGTCATTGCGCAGATCATTGTGATTGTACGGCAGCGAAACATCAGTTCTAATGGCTCCTGTACTGCTGTTGACGTTTATGTTACTACCTCTGCGGCAAATTACATCTATCACTTTAGTCGTCATTTATCGGGTCGCGATCTCATTTCATTGGCTGCAGTAGAAGTTAATCAACCTAGAGCACCTTCGTCCTGTTGTATTGCCGATTACTAATGAATGCTAATCGACGACGAGAGTAGTTGCGTCGAAATCTCAGGCGGGTTAATGCGACGCCGAAACTTGATGTCGCACAACGTTACGGGTGGATTGTTTTTCACACTTTCGTTTAATGTCAAAGCCGATGTGATTGAGCGTGATTCCGTTACTTACCTTTCCCACTCACTGGAGCCTTTTTTGTGGCACTGCATTTGATTAATTGTAACACCACTCGAACTCAACATGCTCAGTCATTTATTTTATTCATTGGCTGGGAACTTCATTTTCACGCGTTGTTTACTCACTGGGTGCTGATAATAGAACGGCAGGTAGAGTAACCTATATTCCGAGTTCTTTTTTTGAAATCTTTATTTGCAACGCCCATGCGATATCGGTCCCTCCTTGACTTACATTTGAGTCTGGTGCGCGACTGTTTCATCACACCTTTTCAGCTTGATGAGCACATAACACACCGTGGGTTCTTTCGAATTCTACTTTTTTATATGCAAGGTGCATCACGGATTGATTGGAAGCTGCTTCAAGAGATACTTCTTGACAATCACCCTGAACTCACACATCCGGTTGCGTTGGCCGGCCGTTGGCCGAAAGAGTCACACGCTTATCTTTTCGTCCATGATCACCGGTTCGAATCTTCGCAGGGGACCGGGCGATCCTCGCTATCTCCTTAGCCCACGCGTAACCGGTGGTGGTGGCGTTGCGGTAAAGCGTCTGTACGGTGTACCGATGTGCTGGTGATGTCCATCCACTTCCCATGGCAGATCGTCTATTAGGTATACCAATCAATAAGCCCACTCACAGGGCCCGGTCGTTGAACGAAAGCGGAATAAGTTATTCTGTTTCTCAGTGACGCATATTGGGAAAATTCACCTCTTTGTTGCTGGTCCAGTAACCTGCAACAACTTGATTGGTGGCATCTCTTCTGCCTTCAGTATGTCAACCGACATGAAATATATGTTTCCAACCTTACTGCACCAGCTGCTTCGCTATTGCTTCACACTTTTCCGAATAATGTATGGTATCTGTACTCTGTTTTCTTCTATATTAGATTCATGTTAACTCATCATTATCATTGGAGTGTCCCTTATTTTCCTTGTTTTCTTTACGCTATGACCCTTAACCTGGGGTGCATTCATTCTGGTTTATCGTATACTTGATTGTATGCATTTATGCATTTCAGCAACCAGGCTGAAATGGCTCATACATGTCGAGGCACGATTAATTTGGTCAACGCTACCGTTACGAGTACTGGGTCCACTACCTTTCTGATATCAAACAGCAACGCACAAACTTTTCATTTGAAGGCATCCAGTGAAGCGGAGCAACGAAGGTGGGTTTCCGCTATCCTATCAGCCAAGTCGAAAGCACTGGCGTCTAGAAAGCATGGTAAGTAGAAATTAACACTATTTTCTTCGCTATCAGATATTGTTGGTATGAATTGTGTCCTTTTTACCTGTTATTAATATCCAATCCATAGGTCATTTATTTTTCAGTGACCCGTCCCTTAGCTAACGCTTACCAGTGCTATGCGCCTACTATTTGCATCTTGTAGAGTACGATCACTATCTTAGCCATGGACTGCGATAGCAATACGTCCGTACTTTGAACTTATTCACTTTTTTACATTATTGTTGATTGTTGATTACGATGTCACTATGACGCATAAGCCTGGCAGTAGCTTGATAACTTGTTATCTTCTCTGTCGATGGTGCCCGTGTAATTACGGAGGTCCACATTTCAAACCAGTTGGATGCAACTGCGGAGTAAATTCTTCTTTGACACTCACCTATAGTAAAGTTATTGCTTACTTACCAAGACCATGAAAACTACCTTGATTATGTGGTTCGGGAGTACGCGAATCTCATCTTTAAGGGTTTGATTCTTGTTGAGTGTTACAGATTTTTGACATCCTTGCTTTAAATTGTCCTCTGGATTAAAAAAAGCAGATTGTTTCAAAAAGCGGCATCTGTGGCGAAGGGATCGAAAGTCTGCTGCTTTCCAGTTTATAAAGATGGAGTTCATAGCGGACTGAATACATAATACGACGCAATAGAACTTGACAATTTAGTTCTGCAAATGCGTGTTACGTGCTGGCCTCTTGCTTCAGCCCGCAGATAAGTGGGTGGTGTAAGTGCATTGGGAGGCACTAGTTTGTGAGTGTAGCTTCCGAGAGCTGTGGATATCCATTGGTGCATGGTAACAGGATGCTGTGGTAGATTTAATAGAACTCAGGATTTATCTGTTGTTTACTATTTTTCCTTCACCGTTGTTTATTTAAGATCATGATAGACCGGGTGTTTGTCACATAGTTATATGAGTCGTCGCGCTGAATCGATCACTTACTGGATTAATTGTGTGGGCCAGTTGGACTCAATTTCCGCAACTTTGTTCTCTTACATTGAGCTAAATACAGTCAATTCGCCATTTTACCCCTTACCTTGACTTCTGCTTCTGCTTTCTTGTTAGACCAAAATTGTATGGAGTATTGTTGCTTTGGAACCCCTCGCTGCACAGAGCCTAGCTACTGCTACTGCATCCGTCAGCAAGATTTATAACTACAACTCTGCTCTCATTAATGGATGATCCTGGAAAACCAGCTCATTTCTGTTCGGCTGGATTTCTGTCATTGAATCACGTTAAACCTGCGTAGGGCTTTGATCAGCATGGGTGACACAACTAATTTGATAATTGCCACAGTCGATCACTTTGAGTTATAGCTCAATACAATGAGAACAGGTAGCGTTTCTCTACGATTCCTGTAGCGGTATCTGGCACCTTCGAACCCTGGTGCTCATACACTGGTAATAGTAGTAATCTCAACCGTCTAGTAAATAGACAGAAGCAACAGAAACCTTGGGAATTAGTGGGTAAAGGGCAGAGTCACCGTGTCATAATCATCATGGCACAGTAGTTGAAGGCGAGAAACACAATTCAGCTATTGTACCGCAGGAAGAAGGGAACACTTTGACAAAAAATAGAACAGAACACTTTTAGTTTGTTTTTCACACGTTGATTTTTCTTTTTTTGCCATTTTCAACGTTTGAATTATTAAGCATGTGAATCATTACAACTCTGTACACAATTTTTTCACTGATTCCGGTTGCGGACCATGTCTTCAAGAGTGTTAAGACATTGCTACTCCTCATCCTTGGGTCCCCATCCTGGAAGATCTGCGGGACCAACGGTGGCTAGACGCGATGTCAACGATTTCACGTGCTCTCGCCAAATGGAAGGCTGACCACCACGCGGTCGCCTTCAGCCGTGTTCTTGACGAGCGAATAGAGCGCGGCGCAATAGACGCTCAGGTGCCATGCGTAGGACATGACCGAGTCCTCTCAACTGGCGCAGTAAAACCATTTTGTTTAAGGGAATACTCGCATTCCCCAAAATGCGACGTCGAACATCATAACTCTGAACTCGATGTTGCCACCAAGCACGAGCGATCTTCCTTAAGCAACCTTTATCGAAGGAAGAAGGACGATGGATGTCTTCCACCCGAATTGACCAGAATTCGCTCCCATACAGCAATACTGAACGAACAGATACGCTTTAAGCACGGCCCTTTAGCGAGAATGAGGCGTCGCGACGAGACAACAAGTACCTCAGATTGGCAAATACTGATCGGGCTTTATCGATGCGAAGAGAAATTCCTTTTCATTAGCGCAGAAACACACTGCAGCATGACAGAATTGAGGAAGAAGGAAGAGAACCACCTATACCGGGTATTGTAAAACAACGGGTATTCAAGAAACTTCATCAGAAGAAGCCTAAAGAAGAGGGTGCAGCAACAACAGCAGGAAAACATAGATAAACTCGTAGCGCTTCCTTACATCAAGAATGTATCTGAACTAACATCAAGATTGCTACGACCACATAGAATCTTGGTAGCCCCCAAACCAGCAGGTACTTTGCGAAGATTGCTTTCAAGATTGAAGGACAAAGTTAAACAAGGCAGTCAGAATGATGTCATATACAAAATTAACTGCAAAGAGTGTGACAAACACTGCATCAGGCAAACTGGAAGGAAACTATCAACGCGGATCAACGAACACAGAATGGCCATACGGAGACACGACCCGCATTCATTAGTTTCCATGCATGAAGACCAAGAAGTCCACCACTTCGATCTAGAGAACGTTAAGATCCTAGCCTGTGGAAATTCGAGGCAAGCTAGAGAATTCTTGGAAGCATGGTATTCTACGGACAGTTCAATAAATATATACAACACTACGGATGAAAGATCCCCGAATTAGCAGAACAAATCTAACGGAACAGAGCGCTAAACTACTGCATCAAACAACGACAAGCGAAGAGTCACACGCGCGTACACTAGGAGGGGACAATCAGAGATCGATTTCTGTGGTCATGTGCTCGTCGAACAGTCAAATCTTAGACTAGCGGCTAGGGGATCGACCACTCACACTCACTGACGCTTCGTACGCGCCACACTGTTAAATACACGCGCACTGACGATGTCACCTCGAGTGGTGACGAAACGTTTGCAGTCAACCTGCCGAGCTCAGCGAACAATCAGACAACCAACTGAACAACCTGAGCTACCAACATTTGCTTCTATATCACAGAAATTCCTTTGCTGATAGTGCCATCAGCAGAAGCACAGCTCCCAAGGTAAACGAAACTATCTACCTGTTCAAGTTGTGCACCTTCGAAGGTGAGCACGGGAGCAGATGTAGGCCAATCCTGGAGCAGTACTTCACACCTCGATGGATCGAAGCTCATGCCATACTTAGGTGCTTCAACCTCCAAACGATCCAGAATGAGTTGCATACCCTGAGGATCGTCATTAAGCAAGACGATATCATCAGCATAATCTAAGTCGGTCGCGCGCTCACCCGATAGAAGCTTGAGGCAAAAATGTTAGAAACCTTCTCGAGCACTCGACAGAATGTCTTTGATTGCGAAGTTGGAAAAGAATGGGGACATGGAGCAACCCTGTCGCACACCGCTATTGACAGCGAATTACGAGAAAAGCTTGCCATAGTCCCTTATTGCCAGAGCAATACAGTTCAAGTATGCGTAAAATGGCTATATACTTTTCTGGCACCTCGTTCTTTAGCAAGTAACGACATAAAGCAGGTCGATCAGCGGAACCAAATGCAGCGCGTATGTGTAGGAATGTGGCAATGTTTGAGGAGTTGACGGAGCGTGAAGATTTGATCCACACATCCGCTGCCGGAACGAAAACCAGCCTGTTCTTCAGGGTAGTTTGATTCACGTATTGAAAACAGTCTACGAAGCAGAATTGCTGCCAATAGCTTGTTGACAACTGAAATAAGACTAATCCTGCAGTGATTTACACGTTAATTGCGAGCGCCTTTCTTGAAAATCGGGACAATAATTGACTCTCCCCAAAAGCACGGCACTTTCTCTTCATGCTAGGTTTTTGCGAATAGCGAGGTTAGCTGGTTAATGATCGCCATGCCGCCGTATCTAAACAGCTCCGGAGAAAGTCCATCTGAGCCCGCAGCCTTGAATCGCTTTAAGCGTCGAATCTCGAGGCAGACTTCCGCTCCGATGGGTGGATTCAGTGGGACTAGCCAGCGTAGACAACAAGGTGTACTGCATGTACTGATGGACGATGAAGGCCAGTAGAACTGCGAGTGAAAGTGCTCGGCCCAGCGGTCCATACGCCTCTGTTGGTTGGTGATCGGAGACTTATCCGCCTTGCAAATAACCTCACTGACACGAGGCTTCCTGAGAACACTGGACCGAATGAGTTGGGAAATCGTGAGTTTTGCCAGAGAGGACAGCGATCTCCATCTCTGAACCACGCTCAGGCCACCATGCCTCGCGATCCTTACGTCGGCTTTGCCTGAGCAGCCGGTTGGCAGAGCGGCGCCGCTCGTTGTGATCTGATTCCGCCGGGATATTTCTGCGGTGTTCGAACAGCTCCAGAGAACGAGCAGAGATCCAAGCCTTTAGGGGGTCTCGAGCTAGGCCGCAGCTTGAGTGTCCAGAAATGGTCATCGCTTTCCGTATACAAGTCCAGTGTTGCTCTGTTTCTTTCTGCGGATTGCAACTGAGTGCGTATGCCAGTGGAGACTGATAGCTCGCCTGCACAGAGGAATCAGTTAATCTGTTTACATCAATCTTGCGGTGCTTCGTGTTTCTGGACCCCCAAAACACATTCAGATTTTCGCGCAGACCAGTACATGAGCTGAGTCAACGAAGGTGGACCAAAAGGACCTGCAGTCCAGTGCGCTGCCACGCCATCTGAAGCTGCTTGCAATGCGAACAATTTGAGACCACGGTTGTGTTGACGAAGGGGGACGCCACGTTGCGGAACCCTTCCTCGTATACCTGAAGTTAGTGCTCGAGAGAAACAGATGGTAGTCCGCCAAATGTGACAAGCCTCTCTCCCTTAT